CAGGTTGGCTTGTCCAGAGGTGCAGCACGGGGGAGCCAAGGGAGGGGGCACATGGCCCCCTGGTGTGTGTATGGGGCAAGGACATGCTGCAGCTGTGGGCTGGGCTCTGTTCCCTGCCTCTGTGCCTCGCTGCTGCTGCTTCAAAAGTGGTGCGGTGCAGTGCAGTGCCATGTGTGTCCTGCCACTGGGCAGGCCGAGCAGTGAGATGGGTCAGTCCCAGCGCCACTGTTGCCTGCCCCGAGCACAGCGTGGCTCCTCCCCCACTGGGAACAGCCCAGCGTTACCCTGGCCCCAGCCCACAGCGGCAGCCTGCCCTGCCCCACACAGATCCCGGGGCATCCACCCCCAGTGCCTCCTGGGACCCATGCAGTGGTGGGAGTCACCACCCCTCCCCATGCCCTCTGGATGAGCTGCAGCTTCATCCTGCACACCGCCCTCCCCTAGGTGAGCAGGGCCTGGCAAGGTGGGCACGGGTGTCCCAGGGACTGCATCCTGTCTGGCCTGGCAGCGCAACTGGGGCTGGCCCCACTCCAGCCCCTGACTCCGGGCACCCCAGGCAGCATGGGGCTGGGGCCAGTGTGGGACTGGAGCCCAGCGGATTCATTGGTGTGGGGGGTGCCGGCACTGGGCAATGACCCCGGGTGCAGGGGAAGGATGGCTGCATGGTCACAGCGGGCCCTGGCCCTGAGCTCAGCTCCGCTCCAGTCCCTCCTGATCCCTGCCCATTTCCAGTCCCAGTCCCACTTTTTCCACCGCCCCCCCGCCCCCCACCCCGGGGCCCTTTCCTCTTCCCCTGCAGACTTTCCTGTTGGGGGCAGGTGTGTGCGTGCGCATGCTTAGCCCCCCATCCCCCCAATTTTTTTTCTCCCTCCACCTATAGGAGCAATCAGATTGTGTCAAGAAACTAGACCCAGTTCTTAATGACAACTGTCATGAAATAAGAGGATGTCTAAAACCAACGTGAAAGGTTTAAATACGATGTAGTTCTGTGACCAGTGTTGAGCCTTTAGATACGACAGCTGTCAGGGTAACGCTGAAACTATGGAAGGAAAGATTATGCACAATCAGGTGCTCTGAAATGGACCTGGAACCCCAAGAGGACCTTTCTGGGGGGCTGATCTAGATTGGCTAACATGGCAGTGGCTGAATCATCAATGCACACAAACTGGAAGATCAAAAGCAAACATGATCAAATGGGGCTACTCTAATAACATGAATATATCCCAGTGCAGTGTAGTAGAGACTACGGCGCACCTGCTCATTTGCTGACTCCTTGGTGAGACCTGTACGAAGGAGAACCTAATATACAATACAATACAAAAAGATTTAAACCAGAAGTTGTTTTGAAACAACAAATCAAAACACTTATTCTGAAAATACTGATATAAGACATTTTGACAATAAAAATTTTTCACATTATTTTTCTGAAATGAACATCCAAAAAAATTAATCCTAATACAGGACACCTTTCAAATTAGACACAAGTGCATATTCCATTGCAATATAGATCTTTCATTCTTTAACCACTCTTAATTAACCTACAATTCAGACTATCAGCTCTATGCTGGAGAAGAAGGCTCTTGCAAACATCTACATCCTACTTGTTTATAAGAACAGAGAAGCAGGCAAAGTGGAGGAATGATTTACATTGGTGTACTTATGCACATGGCTGTAAATAATTGCTACTTATGGACTGTTCATTTGGGAAGCTTTGATCTCACTTATTTTCAGGCTTTGCCCTGAAGGCTGGTCAGTTTATTAACAACAGTAACAATAGCTAAAAAGGATGATGATCCTAGAATCACAGAAAATTAGGGCTGGAAAGGACCTCAGGAGGTCATCTGCTCAAAGCAGGACCATCCCTACTAGATCATCCCAGTCAAAGCTTTGTCTACCCAGGTCTTAAGAATCTCTAAGGATGGAGATTCCAGTCTCTCTGGAAGCCTGTTTCAGTGCTTTACTATTAACAGCAGCTAATGCATGTATTGGACTTTATATAGTCACGTATTTTATAGGCACCTAGAGGAACTGCACAATACAAAAAACCCAAAACAGATGGTCAATTTTTCAGTGACCTCAGACCACCAGCTTTGCATATCCAGCATCCCCTGCCCAAACTTTTGCGGGCTGAATTTGGAAAAGGCAAAACTTCCTTCCTCCTGCAGTGCCATGTGTGGTCAAGTGAAGGAGCAGTGGTGGGGGAGTCCTGGCACTGGGCTTCGGAGAGCAGGTGCCAGCAGAGGTGCGGTGCTGACCGGGGGACCCTGCTCCGCGCTCAAGTGCAAGGGCAGAGCACCCTCGCTCCGGCTCCGGCTCCGGCTCCGGGCCGAGCGCAGCTTTCCGG